TTTAAAAAAAAAAAAATCCCCAGTTTTTGGATATAAATAAGTAACCCAAAATCCACATTTTTCCATGATTTAAAACAAAACACCACTATATATAGATGTCTATATCTAGAGAGAGAGAGATAAAGATAGATATATCTATATATAGTGGTGTTTCATTTTAATCGTGGAAAAAAGTAGATTTTGGTTATGGATTTTGGGTTAGTTTTTTATATCTGAAAATTGGGGATTTTTTTTTTTTTTATCAGAGAAAACCAGGATCCCTTTTTATCACTTATTTTTCCTTAGTAGAAAGCTGACCAGCTTCAGAGCCTCAAACCAATCCAGAAGTCAGTGAACCTGACTTTTTTTGTTGCGTAGAAAAACAAAAAAAGTGCTAATGATAGTTAAAGCAGTTTAAAATCTATTCAGTTTTTTCTTTCTATTCAGTTTTCTCTTCCTTCTGCATCAAGAAACTACTTTTATCTGTGTGCTCAGTGAAAGTTATTGAAAATTCTTTACATAGGGCAAAGCAACAGATGTGATAAAGGAATTTAGAAGGGTTCGGAGAAGGAGGAAGTATTATCATAGAACCACAAAAGAAACTTGGGGTATGAAGAAATGAATGTGCTTTCACAGGAGCTGTGTGTCTAGTTTACTGTGGGACCAACCATGGTAAGAGACAGAGAGCTGTTCTATATTCTGTGGTTCAGAAGACAAGCCATGAATTGCAGGAATTACAAGAATCTTGTACAACCACAAACGACTGCCGTGAGCATAAAATATGCTCTGAAATGGTGAGGATATTGAGCCAGAAAAATGCATACTTTTTTTTCTCTAAATCTGTATTTCCTGTACTACTAAGTAAAGAGCAACGTCTTGTTAGAATCCTGTGCAAAGTGTGTGTGTGCATGTCCGCACACTTATGTGCTGCACATGTCATATGCGGACAGGGTTCTTTGGGTAAATCCGATATCTTTTTTTATCAGATCAACTCAAATAGTTGAAAACAATACTTAGCAAGCTATGCTATGCAAACATATGACAAGTGACAATGGCACTTGTCATATGTCATTGAAGTAAGCTATAAATCTGAATGTTGCACCTTTGTAGTGCATGCTGGGAAGATGTATGTTTAAGTGTGGTCCCCTAGATCAGGAAATCAGGCCATGGGTCCTGGTTCTTGTGAGGTAGTGCTGGGCAAAGGGTTTGTAGCTCAAGAGTTCATTTAAATACACCAAGCCAAAGACAAGTGCCTGCACTTTGTTCAAATTCCATAAGTTAAAGTATCAGGGTTCTGGTGGCTTGGGATCTGACTTAGCAGCCCTAATGGCTTGGCATTCCCTCAGGGGAATGAGATCAACTTTATGACACTTCTCCCTCCCAATAAATACATGATATTCTTTGTATGTTAGAAGTTGAAAAATTTCCATTCTGTTATAGTTTAGTACTGAAACATTGTGCCATTTATGAAATGAGGATTGGTACAGTCCAAAAACTTAGATCTGTAATTACTTGAAAGCTGTACCTTAAGACTTTGGGTTCCTTGCTACATGTTACATATATTATGCTATTAACTGGTTAGTTACATCATAGCTTTAGACTGGCCACATGTGCAAAGTAAGAACCCCCCCACACACACACACATTATCTCACAATTTATTGGTTAATAGTGCAATAAATTTAGACTAGCCACATGTGCAAAGTAATTATCACATGATAAAAATGACTATCCAGCTATAAAAAGAGCCAACTGGCTATAAAGTTAGTGCTTGAAAATGTGTAATAACTATAGCTAGTTATCCAGCTTTAATATATGTAGCAGGGCCCTGGGTGAAAATAGGAGCATGTATTTAAGCACAGGTGAACTAGAAGAGGATTTTGAAGGGAGAGAGTGGGGAAAAAATATTCAGGCCATGGTCCCTAAATTAGGGGAATCTTGGTATACAAATTAGGTGTGCTGGAAATTTATTTTTCAAAAATTGCCCACAGGATATGTTCTCAGTCTCTCACAAACAACTTGTCTACTTAAAACATGCAAAAAGTGTTGTGTTAGGCAACAAAAGATAGCATATTTTCTCGCGTACAACTGAGAAGAATATACATGTTGGCTTTGAAAGGCAAAATTAAGAGAAAAAGAGTTTTTCCAGTTACATCTGCATAAGTAGAGATGGAGCTTAATCTTCAAAAGACTGAGGCATTAAGTCAGTCAACTCCCTCAGCTGCCTCAAAAGTAATATACAGTAAAATCCCTGTTATCCTGGCACGAGTAAGGAATTGGGGGTGGGGGGTGGCCGCATGTGGAGCGGCTGTAGTGCAGGGTGCCGGTGGCGGCAGCCGTGTGCAAGCTTTCCCCTTGCACGTGGCCGACCGGCTGGCCAGCCGGAAATTCCAGTTAATGGCGTTCCAGTTACTCGGATGTCAGATAACAGGGATTTTATTGTAATGGCTGCTACTCTGTGGAGCAGGAATCGAAACAGGCTGCACTTATCCTAGTCAGCATATCCCTTCTTAATGTGTGCACCCCATTTTTGGGGAGCTGATTTTGGGAAAGAAGGTGTGGATTGTATTGGATAATATATGGTAATATATTTTAGATTTTTATCAGTTTTCTGTTTTTTGATCCTTTAAGGATTGTAGTTTCAAAAGTTATTCTGCAACCTTTTCTAACCTGAAAAATGAGAATTCATATCATCTCACTACTCTTGGAGCTGGAGCGCCAATATTATGAGGTAGTTTGGTGACTGGGATCTTGTCCATTCATGTGCATTGGGAGCTGGATGGGGGGAGCAATGTATCATGTATCCATTAGTAAGGCCCAGAATCCACTAGCAGCAATCACCCAGTGTAGTTTTTTACTCCGTAAGTAACCTCATTCACAACTTGTTTTTTGCAGCAGGGTAAAACTAGAAGGTAAGCAGGAGCTTTGTAGAATCTTGTTCATATGGGCAGAGGAAACTATCAGTATTTTGCTTCAGCCTGGCCTTCCTAAACAAAGAGAAGAAAATGGTGCTTTTAATACATACCATCAGTTGTTTTAGCACTTAGAAAATGTAAAAATGTGGACACCATAGCTTAATATAATCAATTAACTATAATATATGATTCTGGTAAGACTGCATCTTAATCCTGTGAGGGAAATGAAAAACTTGTCCTTTGTCTTTTTCCTGTAATTCATTTATTTTTAGATACATGGATAATAACCAGTTTTTAAAATCTTATCTGATTTCTGATTTTTATCTCTGTCATAAGGCAGGCTGTATATTTTAATTATTTCATCATATTTTTAGATTTTTAAAAAAGCTGTTTAACTCCAAGTTTAAGAAAAATGTTAACAGCTCTTCTAATCATCACCTTCAGCTGATAGGAAGAGGTTTTTTGCTAAGAAAAGCTCCTTAATGTGCAGTTTAATATTAACAGGAAGTAGAACAGAAGTAGTGGTTTCAAAACACTGCATACAGGAAGTTCGACACATGCATACTTTTTAGCTTCTGTGTAAGTTGTTCAGCTCCTTTTAGATGTTTTGTGTCAGTTGGGTTTTTTTTTTCTGGTTTTTTTTTAAAGTAAGTTGCCAATGTATATAGATGGCAAGTCAGAAGGAACTGGCTTGTAACCAGTGCACAGGGACGACTACAGCTCTACAGAGACTGGAAGGCTTTGCTAATCGACTTTTTAATAGGCAATCTAGGGGTGCTGCTCATGAACAGAAAGTCTCTCTGGAAGATGAGAGCCATCATTTCTCTGAATTCACTGCCTTGTGGGACAGATCAAGTAAGTGTTTTTAGACATTTGAGATTCATTTTGCATAGTAGTAACTGAGGAAATTTGCAAACAAACATAAATATTCAACATAGAAACTACCATATAATCCAGCAATCTTTTCATAGCTTAACAATTAGAAATACTACTTTAAAGAAATAGATTTTTCATCGTGCAGGTGGAAATGTGGCATAGTTTCAAAGATTGGGTGTTGGGAAGGAGAGTTAGTTGCTTACAAATTCCCTTTTCTTGCTGGAATCTTTTGCAACTTTTTTTCTTCCTGGCATTTGTCTGTCATTTCTTTCTTTAAGATGTAAATTTGCAAGCAGTAATTGATCGCTTTCCTGTTTTAAAAAAATGTTCAGGTGTGTTTTGGTGTTTCAGGTAGGATTTTTTTTTTAATTCTGAAATTTTGGAAAGGAAGGACATTATTTTATGTTGATTGGGTCATTAAGTAGAGAGACGCTTGTCCCTTGTAATGCAGCTTCATTTTTAACTGAAATTTCAGAGTTCATTTTAGAGTGCTTATTAAAACATTAAACACCAAAGCAGTTCAGTGATTATTATTACAAGTTGTTTCACTCTAATAACTTTGATTTATAACTTTGATTATTGATACTGTTATTTCATAATTGTTCATTTGTACTGAGAAAGGGGTGTATTTATCTGTGTTACATAAAATGTGCGTGATTAAAAATTCACAAAACTTCCAATTCCAATAAACATTGTCAGTTAGGTAAAAATAATGCTGCTACTTTATACATATTTACTTAGATTATTTGTTATTAGAAATGTACATACTTATCTTTCATCCCCATATTTTTGAAGAAGTGAAGGTGAGATCTTTTGAAGATTTTTATAATCCTAGTAAATTATAATGACATAAGTCTAGCTCTTACATACTTGTTTCCATACAATACTTTTCTATATAATTAAGGATGTATATCTGCTCAATATTACTTTATTGTAAGTAATGAATCATAATTTCCTACACATTTTATACATTGCAAAATGGTCATGGCATTTAATTTCATGTCTGAATTGGCAATGAGTTGGAATAACAAATAACAGGCATAAGCAAAATGTGTGCACTTCCTAGTATTATATGATCTTTGCGGAAAAACATGCCTGTTGTGAAGCTAAAACATTGTCATTAGTGAATGGTCCAACCTTAGGGTGTATATTAAACGTGGAACATGGAAGGTGTTTCATATACCTAAACTAGATGAAATCTGTCTCCTACCTGAGGTACAGAGAAAGCACCTGGTTTTATGAGACGGTAAGCCATCAAGGGGAGTAGAGGGATAACCATTAGGGAAACTGCATGACTTGAGACCCCTGAAACATTTCAGCCCAGCTTTATACATAATGTGTAAACGTATTTTTTCCTTTTCACATCAATTTTAACGGGTTTCTTTAACATGGAACTTTTCCCTCCTCTGTTATTGCACATACATGAAAGGCCTGGTTCTAGAGGTATGGGGTTGGAGGTGGCTTAACAGCATTGGTACTCAATATTTTTAGACTCAAGGTACCTCTTGGGCAATGCCTACTCTTGGTTTTTGCTTGGGGTTTTTTTTGCAGGGGGAGGGTGGGCTGACTGCAGAAAAATAACAGCAATTCTGTAGCAAAGAACTCAGGCAATAATAGGTCAGAATGTTTCTTATTTGAATTCTTGGGTTTATCTTGTAAATTGTGTGTAGATGCTTGCACCCCCAACAGTGCTAATATTGAGCAGCACCCCATGGTATGCTTAAAAGGATCCTGTGGCACTCTGAGATTGGCTTAACCTTTTTGCCCTGCAGGCCAAATGGGCAGTGCCTGGTCTGTCCACAGAGACCAGGGGGCATGGCCATCTGTGCAGAGGGCAGGGGTGTGGCCTGGTCCCCATCTGGCTGTACATGGGGAAGCGAGGGAAGGGAATGTGTTGTGGCCCAGCCATGATCCAGCCTGATGCAAATCCTGGACAGGCTCTAATCCGGCTGCTCGTGGCTAGCCTTGCCAAATTTCCCAAGCCATGGGGAGCTTTGCAAGCCTGATGCCATGTCTGCAGACCAGGGTTGGCCTGTGGACTGGGGGTTGAGCACCCCTGCCCTACAGGAACCATGCTTCTATTGAGCAAGAGAAGCAGAGGGGAGACTTAAGACACTGATTCTAGTGTCTGAGTTCTCTAGGGTAGGCAGAATCCTGATAGTTTTTTAGATGGAAGGATAGTCTTGTCATTAATGCAAAAAAAATAGGAATTAAAAAAGATAGGTCCGTTTTTGGCTGCACCGTGAATTTTACATGGGAATAACCGCACTTCATTTAAACACTTTCCTGCTTTCCTTGTGAGGCTTAGTTTGCTAATGTATGTGGTAGGCTCAGATGCTCTGGAGATAAGTATAAAGCCTTGTCTGCTTGACAGAAGAGATTTGGAGAGAGGTGGTCTAGAATATAATGAAGAGTTGAGCCCTAAGATCCCTAAACATTTCTGTACCCTAGTCCACGAAATCTGCATGTTTTCACAACTTGGCAGGGGGTGGAGAGGAGAGGAAATGCATTCAGGAGGCACAATTTAAAGTTTTCAAGAAGTTGTCCTAATGTTTACAAGACTGAAAAATACTGTAGCACTGTCCTTTGTTCAATTGTGTAATAAAAACCAAAACTAAGTATTGGCCTACTGACATCTACAAACTGTGACCTTTTTGTATGCAAGCATTTTTCTTTAATTATTTAAGGCAATCTCACTTGCATGAATTGTTCGAAGAGGAAATGGAATGTCATGTCTGTTGATGATAAACATAGTGAAACATGCTTGTTCTTTAAGTGCTGTTTTAAGTAGCAATGGTGCAAAGTGGTTGCAAGAAGCATTTCTGTCTCAGCAAAACATTTTTACTTGGTAGCCAGATATGAATTATACAGATGTATGGTTTTTAGATGAAATTCCCACATATTGACTCAGAATCTTTGTTTCAGTTTAAACATTGTGTAGATGAATAATGATGTTCCAGTGGGACTGTTCAACAGCTTCCCTTAATATCCTAAAATAATTTAATAAAAAAAATAAGCTTATAGATAAGCAATGTATTGTATGTAGTCTAAGAGTTTTTTAAATATTCATAAGGGTTTTCTTGTGTGTATCTTTGCAATGTATAAGCTGTTCGTAGCTGTTTAGTTCAGGGGCACGCAATTATTTCAGGCAGAGGGCCACTTACTGAGTTTTGGCAAGTCATCGAGGGCCGCATGACAGGCAGCCGGGGGCAGATAAATATTAATTTTCTAAACTTTTTATGGGCCCTGCAGGCCACATCGGGCCTGCGGGCCACATTTTGCACCCCCTGGTTTAGGTAGATATAACAAACTAAAGGTAAATTGTTTCTGATCTTCCTCGGGCAGAAGTACTCTTCAAGTTTAGAAAGAAATATGGACAAGAGGGCCCTTATAAATATACTGAGTACTTCAATTTCCTTATTAATTGATCACAGCTTAGTTAACAGAACACTCTCTGCCCCTCTAAAAGGTCTTAAACATTCTGTATCTCTGTGTATATCTGATACAGAGACACTTCTATGGCATCTTACAACTTCCTTTTTGACAGTGCTATTTCTTTGCCCTTTTATTTAATTCCTCATTAGTTATTTAGGTTTGTGGTTCAGTAGTAGGGTAGTATAATATGAGATGCATACTCTGAACTCTGGGTGTTCTTGGCTCTGCATTGATTCAGTGTTTAAAAGTTATTTAACCTTTCTGCTTCAGGTGCTTGATCTGTAAATGGATGCAGTGTTTCTAAAGTGTCTTTGGATTTTCAAATGGTGTTAAAGGTTAGTAGGTAGTTTGCACCATTTTTAGGATTTGGGGACTGTAGGATTGGACAAGGCCTCCTGGACCATTGGGTCCAGTCCTGTGCATTTGCAGGCAGTCTTATACTCAAGGAATTGCCTAAATTGCCATTTGATTAAAAGGAGGTTTGGTTCTACATATTGTACACCATTGACTTTATGGGAACAGTTTGAAAGAGCCCATGTGTGATTAAGTAGCTTAAGCTGGTGATTCTTTTCATATTTAATGTGTTGTACAACCAGCAAAATTAAAGGGATGTGATGGTCAGAATCATTCCCTGTCACAGATGAACTGAACCTTATCAATTGTAGTGATAGCACAGGGATAAAAAGGAAGGTAGTAATATTTCTTTTTATATGATTTTCAAAATGTTTCATCTTTCCTAAAACTATGAAAAACAAGAGATAGCATTAGCATTATGGGTCACAAAGCTCATTAGGAAAGTTAGAAGTATTACATCCTTCTGGTGTCTGTAAGTACTGATAGCCTTACTAAAATTAAAGTGTATGAATGTTAAATAGCCTGGAGAATTAGGTTCCAGTTTGACTAACTCAGCAAGTATTACATGTTTTTAAATGAAGTTATATGTGTTAATATAGAATGCCTTTCAAACATTTTAAAAAATACAATAGTTCACCTGGATAATTTCTAGTTGTGTACATACACAAGGAGAAAATATGATAGAAAATGTACAGAAGTACATTTTGTGGATAGATTAAAGCTAAAGAATAACTACTGGTTGGGTACAAGTCAATAGATAATTCTGGTCTAAGGTTGCCATGGAAACAACCAGTGCTTGATATAATTGAGAACATCTTAAAACATCCTGGTGTTTGAATGCTTTTTTCCCTCTGCCATTTTTTGTTA